CTCTGCTTCCTGCAGCAACAGCTGCCTCTCCTGGTTACAATTACCTGCCCCATTTTCAAAGCCTTATCACTAAGCTGGCAGTGACACCAACCTGAGGAAATTGTCCCCAGAGATCAGCAGCACTGTTGGCAAGTACCAGTGGATTAAGGACAGATGTTTCTTGTTCATGGTAGAATTACGTTACACACAAAACCCACGTTTTAAGAGTAAGGGACTTTCACAATCTATTCCTACGCCAATGTTTTGGTTTGCTGCTCTTCATCTTTCCAAATATAAATATAATACTTCCTTAAAATGGTGAGAATTAAAGCACGTTCTTTGTGCTTGAAAGACAAAACACCACGTTCCACTTCCTGCAAAGAGCAGCATATGCCTTTGGAATTCTCAGCAGTAATTACTACTTTTTTTTATATTTTTCACTTTGACAGCTTGTCTGGACTTTTACGAGATTTCCTTTCATTCCAAGACTAGTCTACTGCCAAAGTGCATCTCATTAGAGGAAAGGAAAATAAAGCGTATACTCTTTTCTTACACTTTCTTCCCAGGAAGAAAGAGGCCTTGTTTTGTTCCATGGTGCCATGGTGACAGCTGTGAACTAATTTCCATTTCTTCCCAAGATTATGATATGGATTTGAATTCTGTGCAAACAAACAAACAAAAAAAACAAAAACAAAAACAAAAAAAAACCAACAAACTGGAGTGCTGGAGAGACCTGCTGATTTACAGGGTCTGGACAGTGGTGGGAAATGGGCAGTAATGTGTGAAACTTCTACCTCTCTCACTGATTCAAACTCCTTAATTTGGCAGCCCTAGTAAAAAGAGTTGAAACTCCATTCCACGTGGCTTGACAGCTACAATCTAGTTGTCTGTGTTGCCAATAGTTTCATAAAATAAAAAGAGTAAATTAACTGGGCACTGAGGTGATGCTCTGAATTTATTTTTGAGCAAGGCTTCCCTGGTGATCACTAAACTGGAAAAGAAGCTATATTGGTACACAAGAATGTAGACAGGAACAAACACTGGAAACCAGAGGTGGGTTTATGCACTTTTTGGACATTTCCACTTTGCTCTCACAGGCATGAAATCTATCCATAGATAGCCAAGGGAACACCTGAAAAGCAGGATCTAAAACCACCCTGCAGTGACAGGCTGCCCCAATGGCTGTTTCACATGCCCCTGTTGCAGAGCAGCCACACTCCTCCTGCAGTGTGGACACCACTGGCAGCAGTCCTTGTTTTCCAGGCCTGGCCTCAACCCAGCCCCAGAGTGTTCCTGTAATAAACAGCATGGGGAGCAGCCTCACTACCCTGCAGCCTGTTCAGTTCTCCCAGCAACTGCACCCATCCTACCAGCAGCCCCTCATGCAGCAGGTCCAGAGCCACATCAACCAGAGCCCCTTCATGGCTACCATGGCTCAGATCCAGAACCCTCACGGTAAGAACATGAACTCATTTGCTTAAGTAAACAAAAATAAAGACACTGTTCCTGGAGTGCATTTGCTGGGTCCTTGGGCTTACAGCATTCTGTTTTCCTCCTCTGTTATTGTTGCTCTAATTATGAAATTCTTTTCTATTGCATTTATCTCCCTGTCCCTCCACTCCCAGCATTTTGGAGACAGACAGCAGGTCCCATTGCATGAAGAGAACAACTCAGCCAAAGTTCCAGCATCCACATTATGTTGTTTTCTTTCATGCACAGCTCTCTATGGCCCCAAATCTGAAGTGACTCAATACACGCACGCAGGCCTCTTACCACAAACCATGGTGATAACAGACACAGCCAATCTCAGTGCCCTGACCAACCTGACACCAACTAAACAGGTAACAGCCTTTCTTTAGCCTTTCTTCCCCCTCCTGAGAGCTGCACGCGTCTGCAGGCAGCTCCTTGCATGTCAGAGAGCTTTTGGGTGTGTCTATGCTATCCCAGCAGAAGCATCTTTCTCATCTCCTGCCCTGCTGGTACCAGCTGCAGCACTGGAGGCACTAGAGCAAGTTCTTCACTGCATCATCCAGGAGGACTTCACCTCCCCAGAAACTGCACCTGCTCAATGCTTCTCTCACAGCTCTTAGAAGGGATGTAGAAGCCAGGCACTATTAACTCTCTTTTCTCCAGGCATTCACACCTGACTCAGAGACTCACACCGAGTCTGGGATGCACACACCAGTGTCACAGGCACCAACAATCCATCTACAGAACCAAGACACAACAATCCAGCACCTTCAGCCAGGCCCACGCCTCACCTCGAGCCCTGCTGGTAAGTGCAGCAGCCACTTTTGTAGCTCTTAAGCCATGTATTACCTAGCTTTTCTAGCCAACCCTGTAAAATCCAGTTAAAAAATGGTAATTGGGGTTCTCAATTCCCTAAATTGGCTCTGCCAGTGTCCTGAGGGGTTTGAAAAGTCAATACAAGGAAAAGATTCAGAGCAGAGTCCATGTAAGGCCACACAGTGGAAATTGGTCTCCTTCAGAAAGGCAAATACCTTGAGAAATATCAACAAAAATCAGTGTCAATAAGTACCCAGTCCTGTGGGCAGCTTTCAAGGCTGAGAAGCCCAAGACTCCCTCATGAAGACTCCAATTGGGTCTTCCCAGTTCTAAGAGGAGAACTAGGACATCAGCTAGAATTCTTAGAACTGAACTCTCTGGAGATTGGTGTCCTCAATGTTTTCAGGCTGGCTGTGGACCCAATCCAGGTATTTAGCAACACACAAAACACACAGACAGAAGCAGTTATGGCCCCAAGCCAGGAGGGCACAGCCATGCTGGAAATTGGGGTGTACATGCAATAAAGGGACTGATGAGAATCTGCAACTGACTTCTGCCTGTACCTTTGGCAGTGTCCTCCAGCAGCCTGGTGCTGTACCAAAGCTCTGACTCCACCAACAGCCACAGCCAGCTGCTGCCATCCACTCACAACGTCATTGAGACCTTCATCTCCACACAGATGGCATCTTCCACCCAGTAACCACCACAAGCAGCTCCTGAGTGACTGCCACAGCAACCTGCCAGGTGCAACTCCAGCCGTGTTTGCCACCACAGCCTCACACAAACCCCTGCTCAGCTGCCTCCAGGAGAGAAAACGTCTCAGGCTCAAGACAGACAACATGGAAAGATGATGCTGGCACTGCTGAAATCCACTGCCACCCACCTCTACCCCCCCAGAAAAAAAACTCCCAGCAAACCTAAACCCCAGCAGCCAGGTCAGAATGGCCAGACATCCTTTTGTGGCTGCCCAAGAAGGAATCCCAACAGCGCCAGGACGTGGATGTGACTTTAATTCACTCAGCTTTCATCAGGCTGGGTCTGTATGAACCTGCCAGTACCAGACTAAATCATGTGGGAAAGAGCAAGGCTGAGCTGCCAAAGAAGGAACACCACCTTTAAACACTCTCCTCCTTTGCAAGGAAGCACCAACAGGAACTACAATAATTGACAGCACCTTGGAAGTTCCTGACTTTGCAATGAGAATAACCAAGAAACAGATTTGGGAATGGCTTGGCACCAACCTGTCAGTATGGGATCACTGACAAGCTACAAATCCTTAATTAACTACCAAAATACCAAACATTCTCAGTTAAAAATGACCTGCTCTAAAATCATGCTATCCTAGTGGAAATGGCTTGGTTGTTTTTGATATAGCTCTGCTTTGTTTTAAATGCAGAAATTAAAGTTTAACAGCTGCAAGGAGATTCCAGTTCTCTGCATTAACCCTGTGGATTCTCATCTGACTTACTGAATGATTTGCAGGAGGGCATTCCCCACTGGTCCCTGACACTGCCCAGCACCTGGGAGGTTCCCATGCTCCACACAGAGTAGTTTTACCCACAGTTTTCTCTATAAACACTCAGCCTGGATTCATTTTACAGAACATGGCTCATTCTCACCTTCCATGTAGGCTTGATTTGTAGTTCTTTGTATGCAAATAACTGCCCAGGGGTCTAAGAGTCTTGCTTGCACTAAGTGAAGAGTTTTAGTCCCAAGGACCTACTTATGTAATTCCTCTTCTAATTATTCCTCTCTATTTACTCTCAACATCCACATCACTGATACATCACTAGCTAGACATGAAAACAGCCCCAACTAAGAGGTTTTTGTCTGTGACAAACTGAGCTACTCTTTTAACTGTGAAATGGATGAAAAACCTTGAGACTGGAAGGGAGAACTGAAAAAGCCCAACAGTGAACTCTTCAGTTATCATATCTGGGAATATCAAAATTGCAGATGTCTGTCAAAAGTTTTATAAGAGTTTCCTCTAGACACCATCAACAATTTCAGTAATGAGATTCTGTGAGGAATTTTATCCTAGAATTGTTTCCTAATTTCCCATGTACACCAGTTGCAAATACATCTAATTTCCAGTTAGCATAAAAATAAACCCAAAACAAAGCAAAAGGAAATGTTTAGGCCACCATGCATTTGAAAGATCAGGTTTAAAATTCAGTACACTGAAGTTTTAACTGCACATAAGGCAAGTAACTTCTGCTGGCACATTCTGTTAGATTATAAGCCAATTTTCTACTCAGCTTTTCTATTTCTGGATAGCAGCTGTGTTTTTTTGACTAAAAACCAGCAAGAATCTTACAACAATTTCCCATGCTCAAAGAGCTACACTTCACTCTTTTGGTTTCTCTAATCTGGCTTTCTGAACTTCTGAATTGGGCCATTAAATTGGATCTCCTGAAACCCAGGAATCTTAAAAACATAAGTATCTATCAGTAACACTTCATCTCCTGAAAGACTGGGAAGTGAAGAATAAACAGACAATGAGTGAAAACTACCAAACCTCACAGTATTTCAGGGAGACAAAAGTCATTAACCAGCCCAAACAAGGACTTAAACGTGGTTTTTAAATTGTGTTTAAGTCCTTCCTGTAGCAATTTCATAGCATTGATCACCCAGCAACTAAAAAGCCATCCTGAGCCACCTCTAGCTCTGCTGGGGACAAGCTGAATACAGCAAGAAAGCCACTGTTGTACAAAACCTTCCAAATTAAGTAGGTCCAAGAGTGTAGTAAAATTTAATAACAACAGATGCCATAAAAAACCCTGTACATAAAAAAAAAAAAAAAAAAAAATCAATGGAGACAAGTGGAACAGTAGGATGCATTTACACCAACCCTGAAATCAGCTCACCACACACAGTTTATGTGCAGGGGCCCTGGAGAGGTGCAGATTGCAGAGGGATTAGTAACACAGCAGGTTTCAAAAACAGATTGTTATGATGCTTGCAGGAAAAAAATAAGGGGCCCTGATTTCTGACAGGACACTTTTGATAAATGAGTCTCCCACGGGCTGGAGCTATTCTTAGTAGTCTACAAGAGAAAAAGCAGTTGATCACCTGTTGCCATGTAAACCAAATTCAATTCATCATACACTTTCTCCAGAAGGGTTTCAGATGTGAAGGAACAGACCAGGAGGAATGCAGCTATGATCACATCCCTCTGTCATGAAAGTCTGGCACAGTATTTAATCCTTTTAGATTGGGCCTGCATAAGCAGCAGCACAAACAACTGCTGTGTGAGGAGAACAATGTTCCCTTCCTCGGGGACGCCAGGAGCACAGGAAGTCACTTAATTAGTCTCTCAGGCCACTGAGCTTTTAGAACAGACACTTTGCCAATTAATTTTCCCTCATCTGCAGCAACTCTCATTGTTAGGTTTTCTTTCAGTTTCCTTCACCCATCACAACCACCTGCTGTTTGCAGAGCAAAATCATCATTCTTTTTTCTTCTTTTTCTTCTTCACAGCTCCTGGCAGCACAGAGTTCTCTCTGTGATTGCTGTTCTGTCTCTCCTGCTGGCCATTTGCAGACACCAGCCGAGGCAAATCTTTGCAGATCTGGTCACACTCTGCTGCATCTATTATTTTCTCTGGAATATTATTCTCTCTCCTAATTTTCTTCTTCTTCTTTTTTTTCTGGTTGGGCTCTACATAACCCTGACTCTGATCCTGGCTGGAGCCCTGGGACAATGCAGGGAAAGCACTTTGCTTCAGAATATCTGCAGCTGACACGGCAGCCTCCTGGCACCTCTGCCACTCTTCGTCACTGTCTGTGTCACTGGAAAGGTAACAAGAGGGAAGGAAGTTGTGGTGCACTTCTGCCTTGAATTCACCCAAAACCTGGACAGCAGAGTAATCTGAGATGAGAAGACACTAAAAACATCCAATGGCTCTGGGGCTCCCACACCCACAGTTTGCATTTAACCAGTCTGAAGGCCAATGTGTTCTTTACACACACTAGGAGAGGAAAGAAAATCTCCCACAAACATTTCTAGTTCCCCAGCACTAAAAAAGAAACACAATTCTGGTCTACTCAAATATAAAAGTCATAAATACAGATCTCAAGCTCTTTAGCTTCCTATTCCCTTATGGGAGTCCCAGCTGCCTGTGAAATGTGGCATGCAACAGTACCTGAGGAGAAAGCAGCTGGCAGCACCTCACCTGGAGCTGACTGGCCTCCTCCTCCCTGCTGCAGGGCAAGGCTCTGGTTTCCCACGGTCTCCAGGGACAGAGGAAGAGAAGAGGCGAAAACCTGAAGTATGGAAAGGGGGGTTTTAGGCAGAATATAAAACAGAGGTGGAAGCAATCTACTGCTGTTTCCCTGGAAGGCTCAGTGCTGTTTCTGTATTTCCACAGTGCTTGACAGCAATTGTTTGGGACTGTGTGGGAGGACTTGGGGCACAGAGGTCAGAGCTGCAGAGTGACAGCCCTCACAGACACCACCAGAAATCCTTTCAGTGCAAATGTTTATTAGCCAGTTGGAAGTACAGCTGGTGATGGACAGGATCCATCCCACCTGCCAGCAGTTAACAGGCACAAAACAGCCACGAAGGCTGAGACTGGAACTCACCATCATCTTCAGAGTCAGACTGTGCCAACGAAGTCTGTGATGGTCCTGATGAGTCCTTCAAGACAGTGATGAAACTAAAAGAAAACCCCAGTCAGATCTCAGACAGGTTTGTGCAAACTGAGCTGCAGTTGGATATTTCTGGGAACCAAGACTAGAGGGAGATGTTGCACAGATCCTTTTCAGTAAGTGAGGCTGCCTCAGCTCCCTGTTCCCAGAGCAGACCAGGCTTCTCTCCTCAGCAATGCAAGCCACAAGAACAGTTTAAAACCAGCATTTCTAAGGGCAGCTCTGAACAGCAGGAATTCCAGTTCTCCAGGGCCGTGCTTCACAACAGATAGAGTGGCAGTCCAGTACCAGGCATCCTGCCAGCACAGCCCTGAATCAGGTACTGGTGCAGCTTGTAAGAACAAATCAAAGATTCTCCTGCCAGCCTTTACATGATGGAAGTCTCTTTTCTCCCCACAAGATGTTCACCACAGAGGCAAATAAAGACAACCAGTGCTGCACAGAGAGTTTTGACCAGATGGGCACAGCACATCAGAAAAATTAGGTCACAGAATATTGGAAGCTTGTACTTAATACAGGCATGAAGGAGACAAGATGTTGAATTTCCTGGGTTTAGCACACAAACACATCAGAGTAACTGAGCCACAGAACACACGTTTCAAGCCTTGCATACCTGTCTAGCATGGTTCCCAGTTTCTTTGCAACGTGTGCTCTGAACTCTGGAGTTGTCTGGAGCTCATTGTCACCCTCCTGGCGGCCGATTGCCTCACGCCCGTTTGAAATAAGAACAAGGATTATCTCTTTTGAGGCCAATAACATCTGGCCCTCTCACCCAAACCCTTAAAAACATACTATTCTGTTCAGATTTAAGCATCATTTCAGATTAGGTTGGACTAATTCCCCAAACAGAAACTTTCCCTTTCAGTATGAAGTATCACACGGTACAAAGTAGAAACAGCATAAATACTACACATTATTTTTTTCTTCAGGGAAACATTAAGTCTGAAACCAGAAGCAAAAATACCTCAGGCTTGGCTGATCTTTAGGCTGCAATCGATCCTTTTTAAAGCCCCCTGAAAAGAATGTAGCAAAGGTACATTTAGAGACCTGTGGCCAGGATATCTTTAACTCCCATCAGGTGCATGTTAGAGCATAAAGAATTACGCCTGCAAGACAGCCCCGGCCCACCTGCGGGGGACAACAGTTCTGAGGGGAACGGGGAACTTCCCTCAGGCCACGGCTGCAGGGAGGAGGCTCTGGGCCCGGTTGGAGGCCGGACATGGCCTCGGGAGGGCCGGGCAGAGCCCCCTTCACTTCTGACACCGGCACCGCGGCAGAGAGGAATCCCCGCGGCCAGGAGGAGCTGCGGAGGGGCCGGGCCGAAGCGGCGGGGCGGGGAAGAGAGAGGAGGGCGCGCCGCAGCGAGGGAGCAGAGCCCAGCCTGTTCGCCGCCTCTCACCGCTGCGCGGCTCCGCCCGCGCCGCCGCCAGCGCGGTGCAGTCCCAGGCAGCCTCCCGGAACCGCGCGGCCGCTTCCCCGCCGCTGTCCGAGTCCGAGCCGCTGTCGCTGTCCGGGCCCGAGCCGCCCCTGGGCGCCGCCATCTTGCAAGCGCGGGACACGCTGGGCGCTGTGGTCCGGCCGCGGCGCATGCCGGGAGCTGTAGTCTGGCCGCGGTGCATGCCGGGCACCGTAGTCCGTCACGGCTCCCATACCCGAATTTCATAAACTCATCCTTGTTTTAATAACTTCTGGAGGACACGGTTCAAGTCTTTGGGGCCCTGGTAGCTTTCTAATCAGTTACTACACTGACATGAAAATTTTTGGTGGAATGTGGAAGCTGTGCCCAACTCTGCCGCTTTGCTGACAGGCTGAAAACAAGAGAGCTGCTTTGCTGGAGATTTTCACCGCTCTGCAGGTAGGACTGCTTTGTGTGTTCCGCATGCCACCAGCCCTGTCACATTACGTGCTACATTTTCCTCTCAACTTGACGTTTTGTGGTGTGATACAACAACATATTTGGTGATTCCAAACATGGAATCAATGGATATCCATATCCAATGGATAACCATTTTGCCATGAGTTTTGCCAAGCCTGTGTGCTGCTGAAAGAAGCAGGAAGACTCTGTATAAATGTTTTTATCCTGCCGGACACTTCCTGGCTTGCACCTTCCGACCTTCTCACTAGAGCTGTGCAGTCTCAGGCTGCAGACAATATCCTTGGGCTCTTTCTTGGCACTAGCTTCCCTTTGTTTTTTCACTATTTCCTCAGGAAACTCACCTTCTGTAGTGCAAGACCTTGGTTTAGGATTCACCCATTCTCCACTGTGTAAAAGAACAAGTAATTTTGGGCTGTCTTGTACCTTGGAGTCCTCAGGACTGGGGTGCCCTCAGAGCTGGGACAAACCCTCCAGAAATGCCTTCTCAGGCAGGTCACCTCCTCTCCCTCGCTTTCGTCCCTGTTTCTTTGGTTTCTCACAACTGTATAAATACCTCTATCAAGCTCTGAATACTTTATCAAGCTTTAAATGCCTGTATCAAGCTCTCTCTTTCCACCCTGGAGTTTCTCAGCTCAGATTCTCTCCATCCTGAATCTGTTTCTCAGCTCAGATCCTTAGCACTCTACACTCGTAAGCCAACAATTTGTTTCCTTCAAACTTCCTTCCTTCCCTTTCCGTCCTTCCTTCCTTTTCCGTCCTTCCTTTTCTTTCCTCCCTTCCTGCTCGGGCCGATCATTCGGTACGAACTCCTTGCAGTCCCCGGCGGCCGCCGTTTGGACGCGGCCCGCACCCTGCGCGGGCAGCAGAGCCGCCCACGCCCGCAGAACCGGGGGTCGCGGCGGGGCCCGGGCCGCTCGCCCCGGAGGATCCCGAGGTAACGAGCGCCCGTGGGGCCGGCTGAGGAGGGGCCGCGGCGGGCCGCGGTGCCCACAGCGGGCCCGGCGCGGGTCCCCCGAGCTCCGGCCCGCGGCCCGGCGCTGCCGGCCGGGGTTTGCCCCGGGCCGCAGGTGCCCGCCGTGCGCGGCCGGACCCGCTGCCAGCGGCGGTACACGGCTCTGGCTATGTGGCGAGGCGTCAGCTGCTGGTGCATGACATTGGTTATAGTTTGATAATTGCTCATATATTAAGGCTCGCTTCTTCTTAAATCACCTCTGTTGTATATAATACCTGTTGTATTGGATATTTTTACGTTTTGCTGCTACCCTGGGTTAGCCAGGCACGTCTGTCTCACACGGCACTGCAAACCAGGAAGCCATGGGGCAGCATTACCCAACTGGTTATATTCCTTTTTTTTTTTTTCTCCTTTGGACTTTGTGAGGTTAAGAGGATAAAATCTTTGTTGAAAGATTTTTCTTGAAGTCTATATTAAACCTTTATGGAACGGATAAAAAGATCAATTCCTTTAATCAGCTGAGGGTTTTACTGTTTGCATTTACAAGGTACATGGACTCCTCAGTGTTCCCAAAATACCCTTCAGCTGGGCCCTGGCAGCACTGAGTGTAACACAGATGTGCATTGCCGAATCCCAGTTAATGAAACGAGGCCAGGTTGGGCTGGAAGGCAAATGGATGCTTTTGCAAGAGCAAGTGATCCCATGAATTCATGTTTTGGGACCACTTTGTGGTGATATTAAGAAGAGGGTGCCCAATGCTGTACAGGTTACAGGAAGTGGAAAGATGAACTCAAGAAATGTTTCCAAGGAGTTAAAATGTAACATGTTTGGGGGACAGAAAAGAGTAAAAAGGTAGTGAGACATAAATATGTATTTAATGATTAACAACAGGACAGTCATGTGTTTGTTAAAAATATCTATAATGACTGTCAGGAAGTCAGTGCACTTTCTTCTAGGCACTGTCAGCAGTTTTCAGCTAAGGTTACCTGGTTGTACTTGAAGCCCAGGCAACTGTGATATGTTAAGTATCAGACTGTTGTTAAACTTATGAGTGGGCATATTTATATAAACTCTCAGTAGTAGTTTTAGATTTATATTGATTTTTTAATGTGAATATTCCTTTTGTAAAAATTTTTAAGTGTCAGAAAATGACATTACCTTAGGGATAAGAAAAATACACTGACAAATCTTCTTTTTGATTTAAACTGCAAAAGGTTTAGGAACTAAATCAGAACTTGCTTCATAAACAAACTACATTTGGATTATTTAAATTTCAGTAATCTTAGCTAAAATAAAATTCATTAGGAAAGAAGTATGGAAAAGGGTCTTTCCTGTGGAATTGGCATCCAACAGTGCTGCTCTTTTTATTTCATTGTTATGGCAAAAAGGAATAAACTTTGGGTTTTGTTAATAAACTAGCCAGACTTCTGTATCCTTACCAGAACTTTTTCTCATTGTTCCTGAAAAAAATTAAATACTTGAGACATCCCCATGTCATGCTGTGAACATGTATTCTGGGACTGTTTTGTATAGGTGAAATTAGCTTCTAATTTATATTCCCTCTTTGCCTTTTCCAGGTTGAATTAATGTTTACTTGCTGTTTCCAGCAGATTTTTTTTGTGTACCTTAACTTATGGTGAAAACTGCTCTAGCCTGTCCTGAAGTGTTTTTCCTGTGTTTTGAGGGCTGGGCAGTACTTTTTGGTGTTTTGAGGTACTTTGGCAAATGCAGTCATTTGCTGAGTTCAGAAGTGTGATCTTTGACAGTAGCCACTCAGCTCGCGCTTTCCTGGTGTACAGCAGATTTACAGATAAATATTAGAGGAAGATTTCTTTCTCACTGGCTGTTAGTGAGATCTGTATCCAGCACATGGACATTCCCAGTCCCCTGCACTTACTCCTGTCGTGGCCCTCCTGTGCTCTCGGCTGTCACCACACGTTCAGCTCCTTTCGGAGTTCCACCCTCCCAGGCACCTCCTCTTCCATGGCTTCATGCTCCACCAGGTTTCTGTATTTATTTAGGAAGCCTCCTTGCAGATGAGTTCCTTGTTTCTTAACTGTTCATCTGCTGCCACTCTTGATTCTTGGATGTAGTAAACGTCAGTCATTTTCAGAACAACCTGTTGGGATATAACATAGGGATTGTGATTTGAAGGAAATAAACGGCTAATCTAGATGGATTTTATGAAACAGAGATTCTGTTTTCCTGTGAATATGTAGAGAGCAAAGAAGTAAGAAAGAAAAGACAAGATCTCTGAATGCCTGCAGTTAGGTATCAGCTGATTTTTCTATTCTTCCCCTTGTTTTGTTTGTTGCTCATCATGCCTCCAGGGTTGATTGGAGACCTGATCTGAAGGACAAGTTTGTAGCAAACCTTGACTGGTGTCCCTTAATTGTGTTTACTTAACCCCAGAAGTCATGTTCTGTGCCAGTGTACTCACAGTCTTCCTCCCAAACTCTAAAGCAAGTTGAAAATGGGGTTTGGCCTGTTGTGTTATTTGTTGTTTTTTTAGTTTGTGATTTGCATATAGTTTGTTGGCTTTTTTTCCCCTAGAGAGTTTTGTCTCGGAGGTTAAGAATTTTGAGTGACTGTTCAATTTTGAGCTCATTCTGCACTCAGGACAAGTTCCATTTGCAATTGAATTCCTACTTTAGGATTCAGAGTACACCCACAAGCTACACAATATATGATTATCAAATGTAAATTTAGCCACTGGAAGCTGTTTCACATTTGCTTCTTTGGATATGTGCAGATGTACAGAGCCCTGCAGCACTTGTTACAGACCAGTTCTGTTAAACTGGGATATTCCAGGGACAAGAGCAAATGTTTGAGAAGGCTTTTATTATTTTTACTGTTGTGTTTTGCTATGTTTTTGACATTTTAAATTGGTTATATCCTAACAGGTCACTGGGCCCCACCAGCCAATGAACAAATACTTAGGAGAGGATCCCCAGCAGAGATTAAGGAATGACCCTGTTCTAGGAAAGGAGATTCAGTGCCTGTTGCATTATGTCATTTTAATCTTTCTTCTGTCTCAGCCATCTTTATTCCATATCATTACTGATATTTCTCTGGATTTCTGTGTCATCCTGCTTCATAACATTTTATTTATTTGTTGTACTTACTAAAACTGAGGGGTTTTCAGCAAGTTTTTGTGGAGATACAGATTTTATCTTTTTGAAAATCTTCGGATTCATTGTGTTAATATATGGAATTTAATTTGGAAAAAGGAACTTTTTTCCCACATTGGTATTAGGGACTCAGAATTTATTTATTTGCCTCTTGTACACTTCCTTTCTTTGTGTTGTATGCCAAGATGTTTCTTGTGACCATTCTGTAAAAGGATGCAGTATTTTTTACAGTGTGTTGAACTCCTTAGTTTTAAGGAGGTTTTCTCAATTTTTCTATTAATATATATAGGTCCAAGTTGATAAGATTTCACTTGAACTACTGAGCAAGACAGGCTGAAGATTCTGGTTGTAAGGATGTGTGAAAAATCCAAGAGTCTTTGGCATACAGTTTGTGGGTTGGCAGCATTTCCATCTGCCTTGATCCAACACACATTTTAATTTTGTACAATGAACTGAGTGTAAATGGAGCTGTGGTGTGAAATGCTCAGAGTCAGCACTCCTGAAAGCAGCGTATGTTGAAGTGCAGCATCTGTGACTACAAATCTGCCCTTCTGGGACACTGTGCAAAATGATGTAACGGAGTGAAAAAGCTCTGCAGAGATAGATTTCACCTGCTGTAACTGAGTCTTTGCTGCAATACTTCACGAGGCCCGGGTGTGATGCTTTCCTGACTGTGCAGTGGGATTGTATTGTAGGAAAAAAGCTGTTGGCAATAACAGCTGGAAATCCTGAACCTTTAGTTTGCTGCCCTGCACCTGAGCTGCAGCTCTGCTACAAAGAGGCAACACTAAGGAAAGCCTTTAGTGCTTGGGGGGTAAGTTGGAAAAGAAATTACCTTCTGAAAAATTCAGGTTGCCCTTTGAAAATGCTTCACTGTTTGTACACTTGCAAAAAGTTCAGATAATCTGAATCACCTGGTTGTTTCTCACAGCTTTATCTAAGTATTCCTGTTCCTGCAGCTTCAACATGATGTTAAGAGTTTCATGAAAAGAATAGTGAAATATTTTAAGCATTTTTATTTTAGTGAACTAATTTCTGTAGCTACTGAAACTCTCTTAGTTCTTGGATTACAAATCTTATACTGGTAAAAGTGTTTCTAGAAGTGCAAATGCCTTGTGCTGAGTCTCAGATTTTTAGGTACTGTGGAATTTACGTATCAAGGAATTACACTGTAGAGGTTGTTGCTACTGAAATAAAATAAATGCTGTTCTTTGGTAAATATGATTATGTTAATGAGGGGCAAAAGCACGGAAGTAAAATTCGAGCACATTAAGGTAAAATTTTTAGTACTTCTGCATTACTACCTTACTACTAGATTAGAAATGTTAAATAGTTTGAAAGTACTAGGAATGTTTGATTATCAACACTGCTGTGACAGCAGCTATATACTGCTCAGGAGAGAATTCAAGTTCTAAGCCACCTTTGCTTGCCATTATTGTTATTAATATTCCAAATTAATGAACATTGAACTTAAAACTCTGCATTGTCAGTCTGTTCAAACTGTGAATTACTTAATGATTAAATTCTGCTCTTGACTGCACTCTGTTATAAGTTGTGTTGAATTTTGGAAGAGCATGTATGACTAGGTGAGCTCATTTTCCTTACAGCAAATGGCATTTTTGAGAAAATACAGGGGGGTTGTTTTGGCTGTGGATGCTTATCAGTAACAGTAAAATACAGGTCACACATCAGCCGGGTCATACTATGGGACTGTAAAGTAGCTTAGTCTCTAAAAAAAGATCCCTCTTGGCTACGTTAAACTAAAACCATCAACAACAGGATTCAAGAGCTTCTTAGATAAATCACTACCAGTTTGGAATGGGGCCAGAATGCAATGTTCATAATGCCAATAATTGTTTGGGTTTGTTTGGTTTTTTCGCTTTTTCACAGCTAGGATTCCAAGAGGAAAATTTTCTTGGCCTTGTTTGGTCAGTCTTTGAGGATGGCAAGCAAAGGACCCACAACTTCTGCATCAACAAAGAGCTCCAGTACTGGAGGGACCAGTGGCAGCAGTAGCAGTAATGGTTCTGGGGACAGCACTAATCAGGACAACACTTTTGAATGCAACATCTGTTTAGACACTGCCAAGGATGCAGTTATCAGCTTGTGTGGGCACCTCTTTTGGTAAGTGCTGCAGCCCCACACACCAGCCAGAACATCTATCTGACGCCATAAAAACCTGTGATGTTTGTAATTCTAGAGGAGGGACTGTGGGTTTGGTTTAGGAGAAGCTTGGGTTTGCTCCTCAGCTGTTTTTCTTTGCTTGTATTCCAGGGAGTAGATTTCATGTGTCCTAAACTCCCTGTACTGCTGGATTATTGTGTAAAAGCAAACAAACAGGAGCCCCACACAGACAGTTCAGTGCTCATTGATACTGTTTGCTTATGTGTGTTATTTTATTTGTGCTGTCTGGCCTAGCACAGATATGTTCTTTAGACCTAAATTCCTTTCTGACATCTGCATACCTAAACCTGGATATGAATCTGGGTTCTGCAGGCCAAATTGTAGTTTCTCCTACAAGCTTCCTCTTTTCTTCCTTTGTAACTATAAAAAAGAAAAAAAAAATAGGCAATAAGCTTTTACATATGGACAATTTCTCTTTTCCCATAATATTGCACTTGTGTTAAGAACTTTTTAGTGCTTTAACTTGACTTGGAGATAATGTATAGCACAGATATATGTGCAGAATTTCTGATGTGGGTAACTTGGTTTGAATTTACCCTTTCTTGAATGTGAAGAAGTTAAGGCTTGACATGGCCAGTGGGAGGGGGGTGGGGGTGGAGTTTATTTTACACAGTGGGCTAAATCTTTCATAAAAGGAAGCCTGAAAGTGTTTTTCTCCTGTGTAAATATACATAACATCTGAAAATCCAGGATTTTATTTGGGGAGATGGAAAATCACTGGCTTAGGGCATGTTAAGATAAAATAACATTAAATTATTGCACAAAAGGATTTGGAATAATGGAACCTTAAAAGTACCAGGTGTCTTGTCTGAATGGTGTTATTGAGACCATTTTGAAAGCAGATGGCTGTTTAGCAGTTTTATCTTGTAGTTTGTTTGTCTTTGACCTTTTTTTAATTTGCCATAGCAATTTAATCTGTTTAATGGGAATTTCTTTGCCCTGAGCAACTGAGTCTGATCTCAATAGCTGACCCTGCTCTGAGCATCAGGTTGGACTAGAGGCTACCTGAGGTACATCCAGTCTTAGTTATTCCATGATTCTCTGAATGTGGCTGATGTTCCACCTTAATTTGTAAGATCCTAAAATCTCATTACTGACATCTTGGTCATTTGCATCTTGGCTCTGGGATAGCTTTTCATGGTATCAGGAGAGAAAATCTGTACAATAAACCCTAAGATTAATGCAGCCTCTCTCTGGGCCTTTGGTCTGGATGAGGACCCAGGAGTGGGAGATACACACAGAACCACATTAGGAATTTAGATTGTGTAACCTGAAAAAAACCCGTGGAGATCAGTCTTGGGCTGTGTTTGCAAAAATTATTTTAATGGGAGGCTGCAGAACTGGCCCAGCTGGATTCCAGGATTCTGTTGTCACCAAGCTGCACTATCCCTGTATGCTGCACATTTGTCATATAGAGTTCAGTAACTAATTCTATTTTCCTCTCTTTTCCTGCTCTGTGAACAAATTGTCCTGGGAATGCTCACAGTTGGCCTTGTTTACACCAGGTAAGACAGGTTTTCTTTTACTTTGTCTTTCATCAGCTCCAGTTGCTCAGTAAAGCCCTTGGTTCTCTGGAGTATCCCCCTCTTTTCAAATGTGCTTTTCTCTCCAGGGCAGTCACAAGCTGCTCATGCAGCTTAATGTGCAACAGCTTGCAATCTGCTCTTTGAGCAACAAGAAAACTTAAATTCTGTTCCACTTACCTCCACTTCTGAGTTTCTGAAACCCTGCATAATTGTAGTTTTGGTGCAATTACTGGAGCTTGCAGGGTTTAGTTTGCAGGTTTAAGTGCTGAGTGTACTTCTCTTTGCATACATAGTGTTTTACATTGTGGTACCATTATAGAGAAGGTGGATGACAGGAAGCTATCTGCACTAGCCTTGGCCTTTGCAGGACTGCTCATACTCTCTATTTCTTATGTTACTCCAGTGCAGATCTGAATGTGTACACATCAGCAAGTTGTTCCCACCAGGACAACAGCCAAAGTACCAACTCCACCTTGGGGAGTACTTGGCACTTCCTCAAATGTTTTGCTCCAGAACTTTGTGAGAAATTGCTAAAGTCTTTCTGCCTGGCTGCAGATGAGGTTTGCATAGTTATTTTTGTGGTCTTTTAGCAGTTTTCTTATAATTTCTTTTAGTGGCTAGAGACCAGGCCAAACAGACAAGTGTGTCCTGTATGCAAAGCAGGAATCAGTCGAGATAAAGTTATTCCTCTGTATGGAAGAGGCAGCACTGGGCAACAGGACCCCAGGTAAGAAACCTAAATGCAACTATTTTAATTTGAAAATTAAAGATGAAACTTTAGTTTAGGGTCCTAAGATTAAGCTGTTAAAATGCTGGATCCACAATTTTAAATACTTTGTCAAAAGACATCTGATATTTCTGCCAAATATTTCTGGCTTTTTCAGAGTCTGGGTTTGCACACATTTCTTGTTCTACTGGCAGTCAATTTTAATTTGAATCAAGTGTTAATTATCAGTTACAAGTGGCAGATTGCAATGATTATTATCTGACCAAAGAAGCTTATATTAAATGTTCATGTCCTCAGTTTTTAGCCTTTGCAATGGGTGTTTGTTATTCAAAAGTGCAGTGTTACATGCTGCTGAAAGTCCAAAGCTGCGTGGTTGGCTCTCTCACACACTGCTCCAGCTCTGCTGGATGGCCCCAGGAGACTGTGCTCTGTGGTGATTCTGCATTATTAGCCAGTCTACTGCAGATACTGCTCTCACATGTCCTTGCACTTGAGCTAATTTCACAACTTCCTGCAGAGAGAAAACTCCACCACGGCCCCAAGGACAGAGACCTGAACCAGAGAACAGAGGGGTAAGTGATCAAACAAGCTTGAGCAGTTTAGTTTTTATTGATAGTGATATTGATAGTATTGATTTATTCATCCTGGAGGACACAATGTGTGTGAGAGAACCTGCATGAGGATCCTGCAGCTTACACATCCTGCTCTTCCCCAGCTGGTCGTTCATGAATCATTGATAGCTGTGGTGTGGCAGAGAGCTCCATTCCTGTGGCACCCTGTAGCATCCCAGAGAACAGCCCAACTTGGAGCATGCTGCATGAACACAGCTCAGTGTGCTATCACTGGAAAAGCTTTTCATACTTGATTGTTCTCCACGTTTAAATACAAGGAACGCTTTGCTTTGAAAATTCTTTGTGCAAGTGTATTTCTATACATATCATTAATTAATCCACTTATTAATTTAGATTTTTGACACTGACACCTGCTTCTCTCATTTCAATGGGATGTTACTGTACCATGGCATTCCAAGCAAGAGAAAGTCAGTATCTGTTGGATACATGATTTGAAGAGGGATCTGTGGTTTTGTTTAGGAGATTACAGAGGGTGAATGTAGCCAGCAGCTGGCACAGATGAAGCAGACATGGGAGTAGGCAGGAGGACAGACCACAGAGTTCTTCAGCACGATGGCAGCAAGCATGACCTGATGAAACAATGGCACATTTCCATGTAACTCTGCCTGGGGTCCTTGGAGAGGATTGTCTCCCTGATGCTTCAAGCAAACAACTCTGCAGGGTGTGATTAAGATGCATTTCTGTATTGAATGTATTGGGAGCTCAGCTGTTCTCTTTCACTAGAGCATTGCTGCCTTATTAAATCAGCTCCTGTACCTTATGTGAGCCATCACAGGGATGGGATATGAAGGCAGGGCAGTAGTGGTGCTGTTCTCTTTGGATTCTGTACCTGCCACAGAGAGCTTTGCTGTCCCTCAGAGTTAGTGGCAAAATGCTTGAGAAGAGTTTGGTCAAAAAACCAACTCCTCAAGTCAAGGCTCAACCAAGAAACATTTGGCTTTTATTATATAAGTAAAGTAATCTTTGTCCTCCCATTGTTGGTGGTGATAAACCAGAGGGTCTTTCAGAGCTGGTATCACTGTTTTAATCCTGAGGTGAGAGGACAGAGAGCTGGATTACAGAACTGTGGGCTCTCCACAGTGTTTAGGCATGACACAAGCCCCTAGATTCACACACAGTTCTCAAACAGCACACTGCTTCTGCAGGGCAGGATTCATCTCAATTCAGAACACTTACCTTTTGACTTGATATGGTATTTTAGTCTGGATCCCATGGGGTCAGTGTTATTGCATTGTAACTTCCTTTTTTCCTCCTTTCCTTATATCTTGCATTCCTGCCTCAGGTGATTTTGCCACCTTAATTTGAGTCCCCATGGTAAATTTTTTTGTGGTTTTCCTTCAAATGCTCTATGCATCCCACTAGCAATTTATAATTTCACTGAGTGTTTAACTAATGCACATATATCACAAAAATCAATTTAGGTTATTTTCTTAAGTACCTTTCTTATATGGCTAACAGCTGTTTATAGATGATGATACATTGTTAAGACATTCTAAATAGAATGTGTTCTGTTGATTTTGATACATTGGCAGATACCTTCTATTTAAGTTGAGAAAGGTTACAGTTGAGAAACACTGTCCTAATTTGTGGCCCTCAAGCAAGAACTACAGTTGCTAGTTTTCATTTTCTCAAACCTTTGGGTTGCTTAGCGAATTTGCTGCTGGCTGAAACATTTTAAACCCAGGAGAGCTAAGGGGATATCTACAAAAGTGTGTCAGACTGAAAGTTGCCAGACAGTGTGGGGAAGCCAGTGAGAGGGAATGTCTGCGCTTCTACAAAATACTCTGAAATAGGCTCTAAGTGATTGGTACCTTTTTTTGTCTTCTGTTCTTTGTTCTCTGCAGGGATTCCAGGGCTTTGGGTTTGGCGATGGTGGCTTCCAGATGTCCTTTGGAATTGGGGCGTTTCCCTTTGGTATATTTGCAACAGCCTTCAACATAAACGATGGGCGACCTCCTCCAGGTACCACGGATCCTTCTCCTGTCCCATCACAGACAGGCATTTTACAAACTCTTAAATAACCTGTTAAATGGCAAAATATTCTGAACAGTAACCAGTGTTGTCAGCAGAACCATGAAATGAGGGCAAAAACACTCTAGAGAATGTGGTCTGTGGCTGGCATGTTTTGTACACAGACTTCTAAAAGCAGCAACTTTGTCACTTCCATGTAATTTACTGAAGGCCCTCCTGGGAGACCAGTGGCTGCAGAGAAACAGTGGCACTGGAGACTATTCTCCTCTAATTCAGATGTCTCCTCTGGTACATCAGCAGACTTTTCCTGAAAAATGAGACAAATTGGACTAGACTTTCTAATATTAAAAAAGGAGTCACTAGGGGTGTATGAAGGAGACCCAGATTTAAAAAACAGCAGGAAAGGACCATTTCCTGAAAGATGAGAAGGAAAAATTTAAACTGGTGCTCTGTACCACAAAATTATGAATGCAAAGATTGTTCATTTTTCAGAAATTTACCTCTGAGACAGTCATCTGCATTCTACAAGAAGTAACTTTCCAGTGAAATTGCTTCACATTTTTGATTAACAAAAAACAGTTGGATTTCTCCAAGGGGTGACCTTGCTGTCTAACAATGAATAATCCCTAGAGAACCTCCTCCCCATCTTCATTGTAGACAAACTGAATCTGTTTTGAACAAGAGCACCTACTGCCCAGGGTTTTCTGAACTTATTTTGTGAAAGGTCATGCCTGGCAAATCTTCCACCATGTCATATGGCACAGGAATTATGAGGAACAAACTCATTCTTCACATCACACCAGCGTTGTCATGGACCTCTGCTGTCCTTGGGTCAAATTATCTTCTCTATTAACTATAGTTCAGTGTCCCCTGAAAATCTGCTGGGGGTGGGACCGAACTAAGGAGTCCTACTTCAAGTTACTTGTCTTCCTTCTGATCTGCCCATGCAGCCAGCCAGGCTGAGGGTAGGAAGTAGCAACTTTCTCACCAAGCAGATTCTTTGCATATTTTTCAATGTATGAATATACTATATTCAGAATATACACAATCCCAGAGAAAAGGAAGGAGCTGAACTGTTGTTTGTTTTTTTTACTTCCTGTTTTCCAGCTGTTCCAGGGACTCCTCAATATGTGGATGAGCAGTTCCTTTCCCGCCTCTTCCTGTTTGTGGCACTGGTGATAATGTTCTGGCTGTTGATTGCATAAGTCTTTTCCATTATTCTATATATTCATGACCAACAAGGCCACTGAAACAGTTACAAACTGCATCCCCATCCCATTTTAAACCTCTTGGTGTCTGGTTCCGTAGCTACCTATGGGCTTCAGGAATTGGTGGTACCACAGCACAATGAGGAATCTCACATTTTGCACCAGAGTTGGTAATTAAAACATTGGTTTAAAAGTGTATTTCAGCTCAGATATCTTGTACAACAGGTTCCTGCCACAAACCATGGGCTAGCATTGAGCTGCACTCCGAAAGGGAGTGCTGCTTTGAAATCCTGTGCCAATCAGTGACACCAGGTCTGTGGGATACACAGTTATCCCAACTCAGACTGGGCAGGTAAGGAAACTTCTCCAGTGTGACCAGTATCTCCTGCTTTGCAACCACGATGGATCTGCCAGAGCTGCAGATGTTATTTAATGTCTCCATCAACATCCGACCTTCTCCAGGAAATCATCTGCAGCACTGCTGAGACTCTCTGGGGCACAGCACGTGATGCAAACGGAACCAGGTCTGGAGACTGGTTCCGGTTTCTTTTCCGTCTGTTATTTCCCGGCGTGATGGAAAACCCTTCCTGATGGTTCTGATGGCTGTTAGAAGAAGGGATACAAACTTATGCTGCAATTTTTTAAAACCTGAGCATGCTGGAGCCAGACACTGGAAGATTCTCTGGCTGTGGAGCCAGGTGGGCCGCCGGGCCCAGCCCAGTTCCTCACTGACAAACAGTGTTGTCTTCCCCGGCTCTGTGCAGCACCTGTGCTGCACTCATGGATAATCCCCTCACAGCCTCATCACTGTAGCCACATTTATCTTTCCCAAGGCTTTGAGACTTTCTATACAAGGTCATGTACTCCAGATAAATCCTATTACAGATCTGAGATCACTTTGTTTGGGGAGAGGAAAAAAAGGCATATTTATGTGAGTTTTGAGGTAAAACTTGTCATAATGTGAAGTTACACAGGAGGAGACCTGAGATCCTGCCTTTGCCAGCATATGCTCAGTAGGGAACATTTGGAAGACCTCCTCTCTGCAGGTGCACACAGACCTTCTCCCGTGCCACAGCAGAGCAGCTACAGCGCAAGAGTCTCTGCAGCTAAAATCTACCAAAGATTTTAATTTGAAGTGCTGGAGGAGACCACAACCATTAATGTGCTGAGGGGATATTTCAGAAGGTGAGCAATCTGCAGCCGCTTTGGAATCCTGTTGGGTATTCAGCTTTAAAGAGTACTCCTGATGTATTTGTGTAGATTCCTTCAAAACAGGTATGAGAGATTCCCTAGCAAGATGAACAGTTCACATTTCTCTGACTAGGCAATTCCATTTTTTTTTCCTCTGTTTTTAGATTTTTTTGATTCCGGTCGCTCATCGTCATAATGATTTCCTGCAAGGTGAATGTTGTGACTTTCCTGGCAGTAGACAGAAAAACTGAAAAGCAAATCAATTAATAGAAACTTTGTTTCAATAGCTTGGGATTTTTTAGCATATGGCAGAGTTTCCTGGGCAGAACACCTCTAATTAATTGTTATAGAAGTTTATTTATGTAATTATAAACTGTTTCCTTTTAGTGTCAAGACAGAGTATGACTGAAGTTTAACTTGCCTACCTCCAAAATTCCATCTGGCAAGTAGAATGTTGCAAAGCTTCTGCAGTGCTTTGTCGTGTCAGATTTATACCTGACACAATGATAATCTGACAGAATATATTGCTCAACTATTATAGTTGAGGTGGTGCTTCAGCTTTTGTTGTGCAACACTTCTGAGTAGCTGAACTTCGGCACAGGGTTCTTCTCAAGTGTGTAACTTGGTAAGTGGGGCCCTTCCCAGGGGGACAGGCTGTTTTGTTTGGTTGTCCTGCAATGTCCTAGCTTTGGGTTCCTCTCCTGCGCAGTCAGCACCACCTGCTGATGGGAAGGGAAGGTTCATGTGTCAGTAAGGGATGGATTCCTTCTCCTTTTGTACGGAGAAATTCGATGCTGAGAGGTTATGCAGGGAGAAGAAGGGTAGCCCTTTGAAGCCTTTACCCCATAAAGAGGACAGAGAGTGACTGCAATAGATTCAAGAGGTACTGAAATATATTTAAGTAATACATTTTAAACCCCAGAATTTTAATGGCTTGGGGGCAGGGATTTCCATCTAGGAGTGAGAAACATAATGGATTTAGAGAAGGCTGCAGAAGTATGGCTGAGAGCTCTTATTTTCCGGCAATTCAAGGATGAAATAGTCTAAAAGTGTTAACGCTTCGTTCCCCCTTTCCCTGGTGTGCTTTTGTATGTACCCCTTCCCGTAACCCGACCGCACACGGCCCGGACGGCTCGGTTAGTGCGTTACCGTTCCTCCTCACTAATTTTCACTGTTGTGAAAGTGATTTAGAATTAAAAAATGGTTTTACATTGAGCGGAGTGCGCCGCCGTTCCTTTGCGCTGCCTCGGGGCCGGGAGCGGGAGCGGCGGAGCCCGCCCGGGGCCGCGCCCGCCGTGGCACGTGCGGGGCGGGGCTGCGGGCGGGGGGCGTCGCCATTGGCCGCCGGCGCGGAAAGGGCGGGGCTGGAGGGGCGGGGCAGCGCGGGCCGCCCTCCGCCACCGCGGGGCGAGCGCGCGTACGCGAGGCCGCGGCTCTCGTCGGCCGCGCCGCCGTTATGCGGCCGCTGGTGCACCGGCGGTGTCGCGGGGCGGCCCCTGCGGGGCTCAAGGGGGCCGCTGCCTCCTGAGCCCGCGGCCCGGCCGGACGTCGGCCCGTGGCTGGGGAGCATTCTGGGCCCCGCCCGCGGCTCCCTCCAGCGGGTGGCACCGCCGCTTCGCGGCCGCACGCGCGGCCCGGGGGTTCCCGGCGGGGCTCCGCAGCCCCGGTGCGACGGGATCCGCGGGACGGCCATGGCAGATGCGGAGCGTCCCGCCCCGCGGCGGCCGCAGCCGGCACCGGGTGCTGCAGCGCAGGTGCCCGCGGGGCCTGCCGGTGGCACTCACAGCCTCCCTGTTGTCCCGCTCGAGGTCCCCCGGTGCTCCCGAGGTTCGGCCGCTGCCCGCCGGGGCCACGGCGGCTGCTCCTCGCTGGCCTCTCTGACACATTCCTCCCGTCCTGGGCAGTTCGACAGACCTGTTACATGGATTATGTCCCTTTGCGTTTCCTTCGCACTGTTTCCTGCTCTGTTTTGTTCATTTCCGTCGTTTCTCCTGCATGCTGAAGCAATTTCTGTTGGATTGAGGACTGTTCGTTTCCGTTTGTGAGCTAATCAGCCTTGCTGGCTGCACTTAAACAGATGTAGCACTACAGCTGAGAGTAGGTGCAGTTTCTTCTTCATGGTGTTCCGAAGCTGATGGGTCATATTCTGTAAGATGGTCAGGGAGTAACTTCTTGCTTGCAGTCAGCTGTGGTGTAGTCATTGATCTTTAAATGTCTTTAATAGGATCCACAGTTTTGATACGTGTGTGTTGTGCTGGTGACACTGAATGGGAGGGGATGGAGCTGCAGAATGTTTCGTTTGCAGGTAGTTTTGGCCTGCAGCTATTTCAGAGGTTCAGCTGACTTCCAGGACTTGCTCTGCTTGGAGAGGAGAGCGTTGGCTGCCTGTGCATGGAGGCACTTTTATTCCCAAGCCCGCTTGGTGTGCTGAAAAGCCATTTCCTTTATAGGACAACACAGGTAGGGTCAGGTTTTTCCAAGGTTCTCCCAGCCTTTACTCTGCTGTGCAGGTCTGAGGTCAGGTGGAGTTCTTGGTGTTCTGGATTAGCAGAAGGGCACAGGGGCAGGTGATCCAGGTGTGGAGCTGATGCACACTTGGGAACTGAAGTAGCAACCAAAACCACTTGTCACATTTGAAGGAACCCTTTGAGCCTTACATCTTTATGGCGACCTTCCTGGGTACTGCTGGTGATAGTGGTGCTTGTACCTGAACAGCAAATGTTTTTTTCCCTGAAATAGCTAATTAATGTAAAAAGTGCAAGATCTTCACCTTGGTTAATTTTAAACATTGTTGTTGACCTACACAGTGGGGTAAAGGTGCATGGAAGGTTGATGGCTTCTGTTTTGTGTAGCTTCAAGGAGCTTAACAGTGGTATGAACTTGCCTAAGCGACTACCACGTTGTACCGTTCTTTGGAAAAGAGAAGTCCGTGGTTTGTGGTTTTCCTTAAGTGCACCCTTTTCTTTAATGCAGCCTTGCTGCAAGCAAACTGTTGGTAGCGGGAAGAAACAGGTTTGGGATCTGCTCAGCTCTGTGACACATTTCTTCTGCCATCCTGTGCTGAACTAAGATTCTTGACTCTTTAATATGCCTGCACTGCCCTTGGGATTTTGGATAGCATTTATCTGTGTGCCAAATGTTCTTTGGGCACAAGCTTTCATTCTGTTTTCCTAGCTTGCTTGCATCTAAGTAACCAGCTCTCTCTGGGGCTTTCTGGCAGTTCTAGCAAAAACTATTATAGCTCTATTATAACTGTTATAAGTATCTTCTGGAAGGGCAGTAGGCCAGCATCACTCCCCCTTCCTAAGTCTGACGGTAGTTTGGTGTTGGCTATACAGTCTCTATGGGAATATTCATTCAAGAGTGTAATTCCTTCCTGGTAGTCTAGTTGTTCTCTACTGAATGAAGTTTGCCTTTTCTTTCTTTCAGTTCTGGGAAATCCAGTTAATTATACAAATGAGAGCAAACGTTGTGTGCTGAGTCAGTGGTGTGGGGGAAGCAGTAGTGTGGCTTCCTGGCCTAGAATGGTTCTCTGTTGGAATTGTTGTACTAGACCAGTGTTGCCTTCCTGAAATCTCTGCTCCGACAGAGCTGTAACTGAACTGTTTTATGTGAAAAGTCATATTTTTTTATTCTGCAGAATGTGAAGAAGCAGATGTCACATCTGGAGAAAAAAAATATACAAGATATCAGAGTTTTATGTGGGAATTCCCACTCTGGGGTTATAGACTGCCTGCAGCTTTCCATGTGGGAAGGCTTTCCTGTCAGTTACTTAACTTAAGGTTGTTCTTTATAAAGGATATACCAATCTTTGTTTTCTGTGATGTAAACTGGTTGCTGTTTGTCCCCTTATTGCTGCGTGCAGGTGAAGAAGTCTGGAGATGTCTGGGATGTGGGGACAGCATTGCTGCTGGGCAGCGCCTCCACAAGACTGTCAATGAAGCTTGGCACATCTCCTGTTTTCGGTAGGTAAAGCTCCAGCCTTTAAACCCTGCTTGTGTTGTTCCACTGGTTGGGAGCTGGTGGTGAGGTACCAGCATGAGCTGGGCATTCCTGCAGTGATCCCTGTGCCTGACCTGTTCCGAGCTCCTTTGGGGCCGTGTCTCAGGGATGACATGCAGTCCCCAGAGCAGCTGACACGGCCTGGCAGCGCGGCTGCGCTGACGCAAACGGGGCACAGATAAAGTGCAAATAAAAGCTCTGATTTACTGGTGGTGGCAGAAGCCATGGGTTACATGTTTGTCTTCCGCAGCATTCCATAGTGCCCAGGCAGTTTGCACAGCCTGTTGCTTTTTCCATGTGTGGTTGGTGCAAGGGTGTTATCAGGGTGCTAATAGAAAGGAGGGAAGAGAGAGATCTTGCCCTTTGCTTTCTCTCCTTTCCAGACTCTTAAGACAGACAAACTTATGAAATCTGTTAGATAATGTTGCTGTCAGCAAGGACAAAAAGGGATGTCTGCCATGGTGGTAGGAGTAATGCCTCTTTTTGGTGTTCCAAATGAATGCTCAGTCCAGATTTCATGCTCCAGAATCACATTTCTGAAGGGGTCTGTATTTTTGAGAGGGGTTCAGTACCTGCAGCTTCTACTGGCTTCTTTGTTGGCTTGAATATGGGGAGGCTAATGCTTTGGATACTGTTAAAGAAAGTGGGGGGAAAGGAAGCCAAAGTGTGGCTTTGGAGGAATGTTTTCTGTGCCAAAATAAGCATCTATTGTCCTTGTTTAAAGAAAAGAAGGAAAAAAAAAATCCAACAAAATACCCCAACTTTGTTGAAGTGAGGATTGTGGTTATTGGTATATTTTTAAAAAATAAAGCATCTCATGCTGCCAAAGCAGTGCAGGCTCAGTTGACTCAGAAAATGCTGTTTTAGTGACACATGAATAATCACAATTACATTTTGATTTCATTACAAATCCCGGTATTTTTGATTTCTGTTGGTTTTAGTGTTCATGTTTAGCCATAATGAAGCAGCTTTTCTTAATCCTGGTTTTCTCTTTTCCCTGAAGGATGAGTATCCTGCTGAGCTTCCCTAAATCATGCCAGTAACCAAACCCCAAGCTGTGTGTGCTGGCAAGTCTCTTGCCATTGAATGTATTTCTCTTGTGGGTCTTGATTTGCAAATGTCTTGGTGCTTCTTGCTGTTGGGGCTGTTGAGGTGAGGAACAGCTGAGCTGGAGGCAAATCTTGCCTTTGGGACACTTCACAGAGGATTTGTTTTCATAGGTTATATTGCATAATGGAGGTTTGGTTCTTGCTTCTGGTTTGTTTTACACAGGTGATGACACCAGCCTTTCTCTGAGCTGTGTAGTTACTTTTTGCATTTGTTGATGCACTTTCTTGTGCTCTGTGCCTTTGGTGAGCTCGAGCACCCAGCGAGGCTGTTGTGCTCAGTGAACAGTTGGAAACTGCAGCAAAGGAAGCTGCCCTCCCCCTTTTCCTAGTTCCAGGGTAGGACTGTACATGAAAACAAGTTTCCAGTTTGCACTGTGTTCCTCCTTTTCTTCTGCTGTCCCTAAGCCATGCTGAGCAGCAGTCTTGTGCCTGATATCCCAAAGCCAAACTTTAAAAAGCCTCTAAGGGTAGGAGGCTTTGGCAGTTGGTAGCTGTGAGTTCCGGCAGCTCTTGTGGAGTGTTTTTTACCGTCTTCCTGTGGATTAGCTGACTCCCTGGCCTGGCACATAATTTCTCTAATGCTGATTGGCACTGCTCCAGGCTCGTTAGCTCTGTTTATTCTTGGTCAGGCTTGGCGCTGGCAGGAGCTGACGTACATGAGCGTCTCTGAGGATTTAAGTTTTTGTCACTTCCCTCCTTCCTCAAACTGCATGTACAGGAGCTTTTGTCTCTGAAACCTGCATTTTCTCTGCTGTGGCTTGAGGGAAGAGCAAATCCCTGTTTGTACATCTTGGATATTTTAGACTGTTCTTTGGCCAGCTGGTTCCTTAGGCTTGAATCTTATGGGTTGGATCTGGCTGAGGAAGTTTCTTAGATGTTTCTGTCACAGTGTCTGTTGTGAATTAACTCTGAATGTGCTTTTGTGCCTCTGAGTTCTGTTGAGACAGCATACACTTTCAAAGGTCACTGCTTTTCACAGTTAGACTGGGTTTGGAAATTGCATTGCACAGAACTTCAAACATTACACCAAGAAAGGGAAAGACAGAAGTGAAAATGTGCCTTTTTCCTAGGTCTGGATCATTTTTACCTCAGGGGATTATTGGA